CCGACCTCCACCTCCACCACCACCAGCAGCGGCAGCGGCGGCAGCAGCAGCCAATGGGAGCCGAGCTGCACGTGCCGGTCGCCCCGCACGGCTTCAAGGTGGAAGCCCCGGAGGCCGGAGCCCAGCCGGGCCGGCACCCGGAGCTCGGCGGCGGAGGCGGCCTGGACGGGCCGCGGGCGAAGGATCCCGAGTCCACGTTCCTCCACCTGGATCCGAAGCCGGAGTTTGCCGACACCCGCGGGAACCACCACCACCACCACAGCCACCACAGCCACCACCACAGCCACCACCAACAACAACAACAACAACAGGTGGTGGTGGTGGCGGACCCCAGGGTGGAGCTGGAGTTCTGGGATCCGGACTTGGGGCGGAACTTCGACCCGGGTTTTGCGGGCGACCCCGGGCTCGTCGGGTTCGCGGCGCCGGCGGCCGGGGCTGGAGGGGGCGGGGCTAAGAGAAAGAAGAAGGCCGGGGGAGGGGCAGGGGGAGGGGCCGGGGGAGGGGCCGGGGGAGGGGGAGGAGCCGGGGGAGGAGCCGGGGCCGGGGGAGCGGCGGATTCGTGGAGTGGATCGCAGGAGGAGCCGGAGTATAGGATTCTGGAGGAAGGTGGGTGGGTGAGGTGGGTGGGTTAGTGGGTGGGTGGGTGAGTGGGTGGGTGGGTTGATGGGTGGGGGGGTGAGTGGGTGGGTGAGTGAGTGGGTGAGTGAGTGGGTGGGTGGGTGAGTGAGTGGGTGAGTGAGTGGGTGAGTGAGTGAGTGGGTGAGTGGGTGGGTGAGTGAGTGGGTGAGTGGGTGGGTGAGTGAGTGGGTGAGTGAGTGGGTGGGTGAGTGAATGGGTGGGTGAGTGAGTGAGTGGGTGAGTGGGTGAGTGGGTGGGTGGGTGAGTGAGTGGGTGGGTGAGTGAATGGGTGAGTGAGTGGGTGAGTGAGTGGGTGGGTGAGTGAGTGAGTGGGTGGGTGAGTGAGTGAGTGGGTGAGTGGGTGGGTGGGTGAGTGAGTGGGTGAGTGGGTGGGTGGGTGAGTGCGTGGGTGAGTGGGTGGGTGGGTGGCTGGGTGAGTGGGTGGGTGAGTGGGTGGGTGAGTGGGTGGGTGAGTGAATGGGTGGATGGGTGCCGGACGGCAATGCTGTGGTGGATGTGAACAATGCCATTTTAAAAATCTTAACCAAGCTTGTGCCGGAGGCCCCGGGGGGGGACAGGCGTCTATGACGTCTCCTGGCCAAACCCCAATTGGCGGAGCCAGGAGATTGAATCTCTACCCTCGGGGCTCCTCCAGAAACAACGAAAAGCCACTACGGGTGGCCACGTGGAATGTTCGAACGCTCACTGCGGAGGAGAGGCTGCCACTCCTCTGTCGGGAGCTGGACCGGTACCGCCTGGATCTCTGCGGCATTCAGGAGGTCCGGTGGACCGGCTCTGGCTCCTGCCACCATGAGGGGTGGACAGTCCTCTACTCGGGGCAGCAGACTGCCAAGCAACAGGGTGTGGCTCTTCTTCTGAACAAAAGAATGAAGGGGGCGTGGGAGCGTGGCGGTGAGGTGTGGGAAGCTGTAAGCCCCAGGCTACTTTGGGCTCGCCTTCCCATCAACCGGAGGCGAGGAGTGGTGGTCGTGGTTACTTATGCCCCCACCGAAGACGAACATCCGTGGAGGGATGCAGGCAAGGCTGATGAGTCAGATGCCTTCTATGACCTCCTGTCACAGGTGCTGGCTAAAGTGGCCCCTCGGGATAGAGTCATCATGTTGGGCGACTTCAATGCCCGAGCTGGTCATGATGCTGGCACCTGGTCTGGAGTGATTGGAGGGCATGGGCCAGATCAGCTCAATAACAACGGTAGGAGGCTGCTAGACTTCTGTGCAGCCCATGGGCTTGTAATTGCCAACACGCTGTTCCGGCATCGGCGCATCCACACAACATCATGGATGCATGCCGGGTCCAAGCAAGAACATCTGCTGGACTACATAGTGACGGACCAGCGGATGCGAGCCCATGTCCTTGACACCAGGACCTACCGTGGAGCTGATCAGCCCACTGACCATCGACTAGTCATCTGTAAGATGCGCCTGCCATTCTTCCACTCCGGTGGTGGGTGTACACCCAGGATCTCATTCCAACCTAAAGTGGCCTGGTCTCAGCTGATGAAAGTTGCAAGCGAGAATTTCATCATCGCTTGCGGCTGGGATTGGCATTGTCCCCCACTCCTCCTGATGTCGAGGGTAAATGGGCGAGGTTTAGGACTGTCACTCATGCAGCTGCAATGGCTGCTTTGGGTACGTGGTCCAGACCTCCCCAGAGACCCTGGCTGACAGAGGAGGTGTTCAAGATGGTTGAGAAAAAGCGACAGGCCCACTGTCATCGGCTACAGAATCCCACGTCAGAGAATGAGGAGGCTTACCGCAGCCTTCGCTCGGAGGTTCGGAGAGCCGTGAGGCGCTGCAAGGATGGGTGGTGGTCGCGGGTTGCTGAGGAGATGGAGTCTGTCTCAGTGGCCCGCGATCATAAA